ATGTTACACTACAGATAATTTGTTAATTTCCAGTTGAGATCACCTTTGTTATTCAGATACATAGCGTAGTTGCCACCTTATGTCATGAAGAATAGTTACAAACAAAGCAATTAATCTGTAAAGTAAGGGAAGTGTATGAAGCTCCTGTGGTGACAATCAGGTTGTTTCATTAGTTGAGGAATTGAGCTACCTGTGCTGTGTAGTTTGGTCCATAGAAATAAGCTCTTTTGGAATCAAGGGGATTAGAGGTCAGAAATACTACTTTATGGAATACCCTCACCAGAATTTTCCAGCTGTAATGGCCAGTGATTCTAGAAGTTGTGGTCCAAACAAGTAACTTTTCCAGGCTCTGAGTGGGACTTAATTTGAAGTATATGTGTATAGGTTTGTGGTCTGCGATATGTACAGAAAGTTCTGCTCTGTCCGTATTGTTACTAGAAGAGAGCATCTATAATGAAGCAGCTGGCAGGGAGATTTGGCAAAGAAATTCTCATTTTTACATAAGGTATAATGAGCCTTCACATTGAACAGAGGTATTGAAAGTATGCCTTGATGAATGACAACTAAGATTAAGCCTTATTTAATATCAACATGAGATGATAAAATCAGACTCCTGAAGCTTTGCTTGTGTTCTACCTCCAAATAAGTAAGTTCAAGACATGTCCAGGTTCCTAGTCAGTGGTGTGCTAGAACAACTGGGTGTGCAGTTACAGTACTTATATTGTCAATATCCATAGGTTGCCGGCCTCCATAAAGGATAGTTTTAAAACTACGAGCAGCTAGTTTCATTGACATCAAGAAATTAGAAACAGGTCTTATAAATTTAATAACTCTTAATGACTGGTTCAAGACCAAACTACCCTCAAATACTTTGTTGCAGGCTATCGTTCTTATAATGCAATGTGGTGTTCCTGGCAAAATACCCTTTTCTCCCAGTTGCTATGAAGATTACGGATAAAGTAGGGAGGACCAGGAAAGGGCGGAAATGTTACGAGCCTCTATCCAAAGTTCTTGGATAGAGATAATCTCTGCTAATCTGAAAGTCTAGGGGTTTCACCCCATGAGCTCTGGCTTCCTTCCACTAATGTGTGTACAATTGTTCAAGTGTCTTCAGTGGTTTGCACACTAACTCACAATCAGGTAGCATTGAAGACAGTGGTTAAAGAGTACTTCATAGGGCAACCTTCCATAGTCGACTCAAAAGTAAACTGCACTAAGTATTGTGGGACTTGCTCCAAGGTTTTATGTGCACAGGAAGGCAAGCTGAATTTCCCTCCTCAATTTTCTGTGTATGCTTCTTCGTGCAGAATGAGGCTTCTGACCTGTATTATTGACTGTGGGAGCTCAAGCATAGGACCAACATCTAGACCATAGGACATGGTGGCACAAGAGAATATGAGCATGCACTGCAGCCCAGTCCATTGAGAGATACCCTGCACTGAATTATACAATTGCAGATCACTCTCAATATTTACTGTGCACTGAACCAAGCTGTGTATAGATACTCTCTCATATGGAACACAAACTGTACTTCTGTGAAGTGAGGGCTCACAGGGTCCTTTATGAGTTGTAACAATTAAGTCCTCTGCTGCCACCCCTCAGAAGTCTCTTTGGCCTCTGAGCTGCATACTCCGAAGTACAATTGGGGCTGGATGTTTTTTCTAACAACTGTGTCCTGTGAGTTAGTCCTATTGTAATGGAAAATATCTGAGAGTGTGGCTTGTCTTGAAAGGGCAATTAAAACCAATTAGATACACAAAAGGCTTGCTGTGAATGGAGATAAAAATCTTCCAGAACTGGTCCATTGGCTTTGAAATATTTTCCTCCCTGCTCTGAAAAGAAACCTGGGGAAATTAGGGAACTATGAGGGAGGGACTGTTTCCTTCTCTTTGGGAACAGAATGCTGAACTGTGGCTACTACAGACTAAAAATATGGAACAAAGAAGAAAAAGAACTCAAACACCATGCATTCAGCTCTAGCACATGTTCCTTTCTACACTGGGGTTTACATGGTGAGGTGGGGTGAGTAAGTTATTTATTTTTATTTTATTTCTATCCTTCTAGAACTTGGGAACCCATAAGTGACACACAAGGCACACAAAATAAAAACAATGATTTAATCATTGATCCAGCACAAAATATTGTGAATCTAAACACATGTGGTTTGTGAGCAGATCCCATTGACACTGGTAGGCCTTAATTTCTGAACAATTATATGATCAAGCTGAGACATGGGTAGGACTTGATGCTTCAGTGCCCTAATTAACATGGAACCAATGCCAATCCTTTTCACCATAAATTGTCAACTTCATCCAGCCACCGTCCCACGGCTGCCTGGAAGCTTGGCTTCCTTACCGCGCAGAAGAGAACCAAACCGACAAGCCAAGCAGTTGGCAAGTTTCCGGAGCGAACATAAATCAATCCGGATTTTCCACCACAGTGAGCTGACCTCCAATGGCCAAAAGGCAGGAATTGGAGCAGAAAGCAGGACCTCCACAGAAAAGGTGCCAAGGGCACACGATCAGCCTACTGCCTGGCTGCTGTGTGCACATGGCAGCTGCTCAACTGAGATCATGCCATAGATGTATGAGCAGGCAGTTATCTGGGCATCTACATTCAAGTGCTTTTAAAGCTTTCTAAGCTGATTTTATATAAATTTAAAACAATTATTTATATGCCCCATTCTGGAAACCTTATGAAAGATAAGCAGGTATCAGGGGTTTGGGGGAAGTAATTATAAAGAATGAATGTAGAGAGAAAACATGTTTTTCAGGGCACAAACATTACCCTCACCATGGCCATACAGGGAGGGTTGAAGCTGGAAATATGTTGGGGAAAAAGTTTTTTGTGCAATTGGGAGACAGAGGGAGTATTACAAGGTGCTACCTGGCAGAATTCTCAGGGGTGGGGAATAGAAACTGTAGGCCTAGAAAGAACATTAGAAGCCGTTGTCCATCCTCTTGAAATAAATCATGTTACAGCCATGGTTGTGTGCTGCTTCATTAAAAGAGAGAAGCCCCAAAATACCTCACTGCTGGCAGACTTTGTAGGAGGAACAGAATGTTTCCTGTTTGTGGCAGATGCTTGGGGTCAAACTACACATTTTGCAGAAAACCAGGGGCGGTCCAAACCATCCTGCCATCTGGAGCAGGAAGCAAGATGCTGCATCCAATATTGCACTCCCCTTTGCATTCCCTCTGCACCACCTTGCACACATGCAGTGTTGCACATGTGACAACACAGATACTCCCTGCTCAGCCCCCTCTAACAAAAGCCCACCTAGACTGCTGGCAATATTTTGTGGCTGTTGCTGTATGTTGCCAAGTTACTTCCAACTTACTTGCAACAGGGTAGGATCCCAGCATGCTTAGAAAGAGGCAATCGGAAGGCCATTGTAGAAAAAGCCCTCCATGGATCCCGCAATATTGAATAATTACTGACCCAGTCTCTAATATTCCATTCTTGGGCCAGGTGCTAGAGTGGGTCGTGACTTCTCAGCTCCAGTGGTTTTGGGATGAGACGGATTAGTTTCTGGATGAGATGGATTATCTAGATCCATTTCAAGCTGGCTTCAGGCCTGGTTACAGACAGATATTGCTTTGGTCGCTTTGGTGAATGACCTACACTAGGAATTAGAAAGGGGTAGTTTGTCCCTGTTGGTTCTACTGGACCTCTCAGTGGGTTCCAATACCATTGACCACAATATCCTTCTTTCCCATAGTTCTGGGATGGGACTTGGAGGCCCTATTATACAGTAGCTCCGGCCCTTCCTGGAGGGGAGAATTCAAAAGGTGCTGCTGGCGGACTCCTGTTCAACACCCTGGCCACTAGCCTGTGGGATCCCTCAAGGTTCTGTTTTTCTCCTATGTTATTTAACACCTACATGAAACCACTGGAAGAGAGGTTGTCGGGAGTTCTGGGTTTCAGTGCCACCCAACCCTACCTCTCCTTTCCATCTAAATATGAGAAAGCTGTTTTGGCTCTAGATGTCAGTACTGGGCTAGATGAGGGAGAATAAACTGCAGCTTAATCCAGAAAAGATAAAGCTGCTCCTGGTTAGGTGACCATGTGCCCGCCTGCCCACCCTTTCGCGTGGGCACTCGGGTGCATGCGTGAAGGGGTGGGGGAACACTCATGTCGGTGCTGGCACATGCATGCGTGTGCAAAGCAGCTGTGGGGAGGGGAGTGCATGCGGGGGGCTATGTTCGCAGCCTGGTCCAGCTCAGGCCACAGTCTGGCACTGGGCCGCAGGGTTGATGATCTCTGGTCTAAAGGGTGCTTCAAGCACTATGGACTCAGGCCACAGTCTGGCACTGGGCCGCAGACCAAGGGTTGAAGATTTCTGGCCTAAAGAGTGCTTCAAGCACTATGGGGTGGTATATACGCAGCACACTTTGTTTTGCTTTGCATTTGGTGGGGACACGGGAGGGGGCTTTCTCTGTTGCTGCTCCCAGATTTTGGAACTCCCTCCCACAGGAGGCCAGGCTGGCCCCCTCTTTGCTGTCCTTAAGCAGACAAAAACCGTTCTCCTCAGGCAGGCTTAGTGACTGGCTGCCTGAGTTGTTTTTTTAGGCCAGGCTGGCCCCATCTTTGCTGTCCATAAACAGACAAAAGCCGTTCTCCTCAGGCAGGCTTTCCCTTAGTGACTGGCTGCCTGAGTTGGTTTTTTAAAAAACATATTGTTGTGGCCTTACTGCTTTGAATGTATTTTTGGTGTTGCTTTTGTTTACCATCTTTTAGTGTGGTATTTGTTTGTTCCTTTGTATACTTGCTGTTTGTATCTTTAAATATTGTCTTTTAATGATGTAAGCCACCTTGGGTCCTTTTCAAGGAGGATGTCGGGATAAAAATATTTTAAATGAAATAAATAAATAAACATGTTTTGTATTCTGTGATATGTTTGGAAAGTGCTTTTCTGTGTCAGGGTGGCTGGACAGTTAGAAAGAATAACAGGTAGACACACAGACGAAGCAACCTTGCTCAAAATGCATGGATGTGTTTGGAATAAGACATACTTATGACACCATGGGATTTAATATAACCATACCATATAACACACCAAGTTCTTCCTTGATGACAAGTAGGTGCAGCACCCAGCCCTATTTTCTCTTGTCCTCCCCTTGTCCTCTTCTCCCCTTTCTTTCTTCAGACTCCTTGGATATGGGGTGGGGGGGAACCCAAATGTCAAGTATTTCGGCCCTTTATTTGACCCATTCCCCCTTCTCAGTTATCAGTCTTTTCGTTTAAAAGCAGCCTCAGCAGACGGGATGTCATCTTCTGGGCCATCTTTTATCCCATAGTACATATCATCCTCTTCCACATTCTGGATGGCTTTGTGTTCAAATACCCGAGGTTGTTCTGAGGCAGCTGTACCTTCTCCTGCTGGCCCAGGAACAAAGCAATGGCTCTGGTCTGGTGTCATGGACTGATTCTGATCTTCCACCATAACAGAGTCAATCAAAGCAAAATCTTCATAGCAAGGAAGTTTGAACCTAAGCTGGCTTTCTGTTGGAGATACAGCGCTTGCCGCAACCTTCCACTTCTGTAGCAGTGGGCTATTGGGAGTAGATTCCATGGAGGAGGCGTCCATTTCCTCTTGGAGAGAAGCTAGTGGTGCCTGGCTTTGGAACTTCATAGGCTGGCTGAAATGTTTAAAAAGAGAAAGGTATTGAAGGACATGATTGCCAAGGCTGATTGCTCAGCTGTTTTGTGTTTCTGCTGGGAAGTTTACAGTAAACTAAGCTGGGCAGACACACCAGCTAAGGACACTCATGCTGTTAGAATAACCAGATGTATTTTTAATAATGCTCTTTTCAAGCTAACTTAAATAGCATTGGTCTCCAGAGTGCCAAGCTTACATAACTGAGAGGAAGGGTGACCCCCCAAGGGACTGTGTGACATAAAAGACAAGGCAACAAGATACTCACCTGTATGACCTTATTGTTGCCTTCTGGGACCCTGGATCCCTGCAGGCATCGCCATCACTCTCAGAATTCCTGTGGACTTCTGCTTTGGCCTGGACAATAGGTTGACTATGTCCTTCTGCTCTGACCAATGGGATGGGAGCAGCAGGCAGAGCTCCCAAACATTCCACTGGAGCAGCTGCCATATTCTTCTGGACCTGTTCATAAGATGGCAAGCTTTTCTCATAGACGTCAGCTTCTTTCTGGCTGGTATAAGGCATCTGTGAACTGTACAAATACAGGATTAATGGGACCATAACCACTTCACTAGGCTTCTTATCCTGTTATTTTCAGCCTGGAAGAGGCGTCTGATTCCTTTCCATTACAGAAATCTCTGATTTCAAAACAGAACTTGGGAGATCACTTTATAATATTAATCTCTGAGTGTCCCCACACCACATGTAAGGCTTACAAGCAGCAGCTCCAAGCTCTGTTTCAGTCTTTATATTTATGGCCAATTTGATTTTGATTTCAGTTTGGCATCAGCTGGACTGTTTTGGGTGTGTTAGTCCCTGAAAGTAACTTTTTCCATTTCTGTCATTCTCTACTAGCACTATGCCGGACTGCAAGAAATGAAAAAAAAAGTAAGGATAACACCGCAGTAGTAACAGCAGCAGCTAGTGGCTGTGACAGGCAGTCAGTGCAAGGGCAGGCAGGTGAAGAACAAAGCCTCAAATGCAATTATTTTAAAAGCCTGTGTAGTCCCCTCAACTGATATACAACACAGCTTTAAAACTGATTTAAAGTTTTCCCAAGAGAATACACACACCAACACAACAACCACATGGATTACCAAGTGACTTTAAACCAAATTCAAAAACTCTGATCCATTATCCAATTTATTTCATTAGTATAATGATTTCCTGTTGGGGTTCAAACTGTGTTGGGATGAAAAAATGGACCTTGACTAGAAGCTACATTAACCAGAGGGATCTGGGAGTTATACCGGAAATGTAACTTTTCTAGGCTCAGATGCAGAATAATTTTTCAATTGGCCTAATGTGGGTATATTTGCATTTTCTAGATGGGATTACGTGCAACAGGGTTGAAGTTAAACTAAATATTGCAGAAAGAAGATCAGCCTTTTGCTTTCTTGCATATTCGTCTCCGGTGTTGCTGCCTGTTTTTAAAATTGACAAGCAAGACCTTTCTCTGTTGCCTTTTTCTCTTAGAATACTTTTTTTTCCTGGCTTACTTAGTTGCGAAGAGATACTGTAATATGTGCAATTCACTTTCCTTTGCCAGTGTTTCCAGAGGCTGACCTTGTCCTGATGAAGAACACAATTTATATGTACTGATAAGTATTGTAATTAAAAAAAGAAAATTGCAGTTTGTTGAGTTGAAGCTTACAGGCTTGGTGTCCTTAGACATACGTACCTGTTCTTCTCAGGAACTGGATTTTCAATAGATGAAGCTGTTGGCTTCTTGACAAGGAACCTCTCAGACTCGGCATCAACAGAAACAACTCTGATCTGAGGAGAAACATACTGGGTGTTACTCTTTCAAGAGGGGGACTGCCTTTGTGGGAGGGGGAAATGTTTAACTTACATATCTCCTTAGAGGTGACAGGCCATGTGAATAATGCACCTGGCTGCACACTTTTATAGACTTCCACTTCCTCTTTTTATCTTCACAAAACCCCTGCGGGGTAGTTAAGACCATGCAGAAGAGATGAGAGAGAGAACCTGACTAACTGACTGGCCGGCCCGAAGTTACTCAGTGAGGATCCATGGCTCAACGGGAACTCGAACCTCGTAGGTTCTTAGAGCCTAAGCGTAATATTAAGCTGACCTTCCAGTCAGAACCACTCACTAGCCATAGCCTCCTGGATTTGCTAATCTTCCTTCTTGGTATAAGCTGTTGGTGTACCTGCTCTTTCTAAGTATGCAAGCAATAGCAAGAATCAGGAGATTAGGCAGCAGCATCTATTGACCTGAACTCTGGCTCGGTCTCAGAGGGAGAGGGCATGTGAAAGGCAGCCATGATTATGAGGATGAAAAGTCCTCTGTGGGGGAAGGATGTTGATACCAAAATTCATCTCAACTCCCTTTCCCAGAGGGTCACCAAAACTGGAGGGAAAACAGCTTGTGCGGGGAAAGTGGTTAACCACTGCTTTTCCAATCAAGCCAGTACATCACACACACACGTACGTACATCATTTTTTCACTAAGCAAACATAATGTGTCATGTCAGTACTAGTTATACATTTGAATAGATAACAACCATTAACTTCACCAGTCCATTTTTTGCAAAGTGTTTCTCTCTCACCCTTGCACACTTGGAAAGGGATCTAGAAAATTGGAAATGAAAATTGTTCTGAGCTCCAAAAGCGAGATAGAAATACAACATTTATGGTTTGAGTCTGGGGTTGTTGTTTTATTCGTTTTACATTCTAAAAATGACCTTCAACAAATTTTGAATTTCCAGGAGGAAAACACAAGTGATAAATCAATATCCGCTATTTTGCAGATAAATATATATGCCTTGATACTACTCGGTGGACTAACAGACTAGATAAAGAACCAAAAGTATAGCATCTTCAGTCCTTATAGCCCCAAATAGCTCAGGAATACTCTTCAGAAGCATGCACTGCTTACAAAAGAGCAGAACTAGGAAATGTTACCCGCAGAACTCTCTCTGGCCAGCAAGGCCAATGGGAATTCTGGGAGCTGTTGTCTGAAAATATCTTTGCCAATATCTGTGAAGAAGTAAGAAATGGAGAGGAAAGAAACAGAGAATAGAAACAGTTGAAGGCACTTTGGGGAAAAGTACCCTGCTTCTTACCTTTGGGTAGCATTGGCACATGCTCCAAGTGACTCCCACGGCGACGGTCAAGATCCCCAGGGTGCAGAAAGTGATGTAGATCTGAGGTTTTTCCACACTCATGATGAACATGCCTACCATCACCAGGAAGAAGCCCAGGACTATGAGTCCATAGCGAAAGGTTTTTTCTTCAGCCATTGGAATTCACACAGCTCAGAAAGCAACATGAAAACCAAGCTAATTTCTGGTGGAGTCGTTCATGGGAAGAGGTTATGCTGGAAACTGGTGAGGCCACAAAGGCTGGGCAGCCCTTCCCCTGGCCCTGGCCCCGGCCCCAGACATCAGCAGCCCTTGCTTAGGTGCATCGGAAAAAGGTATGCCATTGACTTCAAGAGGACAAGAGTCAACTGCACCTTCAGACCAGTCCTGCCCAGCTCTGAGCCAGCCAGTTTTTAATGGGTGTGTAATGAATGCAAACAAGATATTTAAATTCACACTTGAATAACATTGTCCTGGGAGGCTTAAATATAACCTTCCCCCTAGGTATAGCCAGTGGAAAAGCTAGAAAACTTCACCAAGGGGGTGTGGACAGGGGAGGAGGGTTTTAGGATAGTTCTAGTCACAGTCCAGTTGCCAGGTTTCTTCAGAGGATGACTGGTCGATTAAGGAAAGGTAGAAATCTGACAGAAAGCCATATGTCAGTATTCTCTGCTCCCTGTTCCAGTCCCTGGCACAAAATTTAAGGGTAGTCATCAGCTGGAAAACTGGTTCCCCACCTGAATCTTGGGATGATGGTATGGTCTTCACAGTGTACTGTACATAATCGCCCTAGTTTATATTATGGATCACTTACTTATTCAAAATATTTCTCAGCTAATCTTTCTCCACAGGGTTCTAGGGCAGTATATGAAAGTGTGACTAATACAACTACCTATTTACATATGGAAACACTGGCTGGGTCTCCAGGCTTTGAAAAAGGTGATGGGCACTAAGAAAAGCAAATAGGAAAGGGGTCCTTCCTTTCACAGAATCAACTATCTTTCATTGAGCTTAGTGGGAGAAAGTAAATCACGGAGGTGAGCAGTGCACAATCAAATAGTATATTCAGTCAAAAACAAAAGAAAAAGAAAAATTAAAGATAAAAACCTTGTGGCATCTTAAAGACTAACTGGTATATTTTAATGGGAGTCTCCATGGATCAAGTCCAGTTCCTAAGACATAGGACTGAGATCACATGACTTATTTTTACACATTTATACATGGCCCCAAAATAAAGAAACAGTGGTTGGTTAGCAGACACAAGTTGCAAATTGTGCGAGTCAGTGTGCTGTTTCACACCTAGTAATGATTTCTATTTGATATTCAAATCTTTTCCAGCTATGTTCTGCATTGTAAAAAGTGATTTGACCCAGTGGAAGACAGGAGGGCCTGGCATGCTCTTGTCCACGGGCTCACGAAGAGTTGGGCACGACTTAACGACCAAACCAAACAAAAAAAAGGAACCCCTGGCTATAGATAACAACAGCAGAAACAATATGCTTGTTTATAGAATGGTACTTATCTCTACACTCTTCAAGCTGTATTCACAGTCATAGTTGCAGTTTTTAAAAACAATTTTCAATTGTTTAGCTTTAATAGTGTGCTGAACACAAAGGTCGGGAAAGTTCCTTTTTAAGGACTACAGTTCCCATTGGTTTGTGGAAAGGATTAAAATGTAGGATTTGTGGGGTTTTTTAAAAAACAAAAAAAAAAATGAGATTTTCCAATCCTTTTAGAGAAAAGGTTCAGAACCCTGTGCCTGTCCATTAGTTTTGAGATTAATTAAAGATTTTAATTGTTCTTTAGTGTCCTTGAATAAATCACAGGGGAGTTTTGTACTTTCTTCCCTTTCTCTGGGTTTGCCAAGCAGCCCTTCAGGTCCTCTTTTCCAGCTATTAGTAAAACCAGAAATTATTTTGAGGCACCTGCCCGTACTGAGCATTTCCCCCAAACTTTTCTTGCACTCAAGATACAGGCGCTGCACTTTGGTACCTACACAACGCAAGGCTGAAACCAATGTCAACAGAGCCAAAGTGGGACAAAAAAACACATGGAGTTCTGGGGTGTGTCTGTTATTTTTGTGGTGTATTTTTGTTCTGCATTGCTCCAGTTTGCTCCAGTGCATAATCTGCTCGTGTGGGCCCTCGTACTGCCTTGATGCAGGATGATCCATGTGAGTATGGACCATTCAAGTTTCCTTATCGGAATTTTTCACATGGCCCATCTCCATCCCTCCATACCTTATTGCTACTTTTATTTAGTTCTCTTGGAATATTAGCTGTTTCTGCATTTAATTTTTTTAATGTTACCACTCTTGCACCATTGGTGCAAAAGTGAAAATTATAAACTGAAAAGTATATATAAAATTAGAAAGTGTTGCAGCAAAAACCTGACATTTGAAAAGCAGGGAGGAGAGAGGGAAGCAAGTATGGAGAATGTGGGAAAACAGGCAAAAAGGGGAGGGCAATGTGTGCTGAGAGTGAAACAGAAGGGATTAAATTCCAGGTTTCTGTGGACAGGTGGTACCAAAAGTACTCAGTGAGTCCGAGTACATCCAGCAACAAATATTCTCCCCGGGATAGTCTATTCAAATCTGTCACAAAAATACCAGAATGATCTTGAACAACACCTCCATGCATGCATGCATGCACGCATGCTTTCCCAGCCTTTCTCCTTAAAAAGCACCCAAGGTGATTTACATTATTCAAAGAGCCCTTAGTTCCTTTTGTTATTTCCCTACAACAAAGCTGAGTTTGAGGGGGGAGTATGAGTCTACACATTCACAGATCTTTTGCCTTGCCTCAGTTCTGGCTCTTTCTCCTCCTTTTTTTCATATACTACCTTCCGCAACTTCTGCCTTAAAACCATATGTGGTTTAGAAGAGAACAAACATTTTGGGAGTTGTTCGCCATCTAGTGGATTTTTTTGCATAGGTACACCCGCTGTGTACAGTGACAGTGTGGTGTCATGGATAAAATGATGGACTAGAATTCAAGAGACCTGCATTTAGGTTTGGGAGTTCACAAAGGGAGGAGAGGAGTGGTAAAACCTGCCCTTAAATATCTCATATATAAAGAAAAATCTGTTAGATCTACCATGAGTCAAACATGACATGACGGTGCAAAACAACAACAATATATACCCTGATATTCTCCTTGAAAAAGAATCCAAGGAGGCTTAGAACACTGAAAGACAAATATTTAAAGCTAAGAACAATGAGTATAAAGAGGCATCTTAACATCATTAAAAGGCAATAATTAAAGCTAAGAATATGAGTATACAAATATGTTTTTAAAAAACACAAGTGCCACTCTGAGAAATTGAAAACACAAGTAGTACTAAAAACCTAGTCAAAGCAGCAATGCATAACAATCCATCTGAAATCACACATACAGGTAATTAAGTTACTGATGGAAGGCTTGCCTGAAGATAAAGAGCACAGAGTGCTGTCCTCTGAAGATGCCGGCCACAGAGACTGGCGAAAGTTTAGGAAGAACAACCTTCAGAACACAGCCAAAGAGCCCGAAAAACCCACAACAGCCATTAGATCCCGGCCGTGAAAGCCTTCGCGAATACATAAAGGTCTTTGCCTGCTTGCGGAAAGACAGCAATGATGGGGCCAGTCTGGGAGGGAGTTCCAAAGTCTAAGAGCAGATATAGAGAAGGCCCTCTCCCGTGTCCCCATCAGACACACCTGTGAGGGTGTGGGAGTGACAGAAGGGGGCCTCTCCTGATGATCTTGACACCCGAGCCAACTCATAATGGGAGGTACGTTCTTTGAGACAGCTTGGACCCAGGCCATTTAGGGCTTTATAGGTTAAAAACAGCACTTTGAATTGTGCTGGGAAACTGATCGGCAGCCATGGAGCTGCTGTAACTGGGAGCGGGGGTATGTAATCCTTGTGACCAGCCATTGTCAGCAATCTGGCTGCTGCATTTTGGATCCACTGAAGCTTCCTGACACTTTCCCTTGGCAGCCCATAGACCATGTTACAGTAATCCAGACAGGAAATAACTAGGGTGTGTCTCACAATGGCCAGATCAGATCTCTCAAGAAACAGACGTAGCTGGACCACTAGTTTTAATTGTCCAAATGCACTCCTGGCCACCACCGAGACCTGGGCATCCAGGCTCAGGGATAAATCCAGAAGCACCCCCAAACTGTGCACCTGTTTTTTTTTTCAATGGGGGTATAATCCCATCCAGTACAGACTGCATCCCTATTTGCTGATCTGCCTTTTGACTGACCAGAAGCACCTCTGTCTTGTCTGGCTTAAGTTTCAATTTATTCACCCTCATCCAGGCCATTACTGATACAAACACTGATCTAGAGCTGAAGCAGTTTCCTTGGATTTAGATGGCAAGGAGAGGTAGAGTTGAGTGTCACCCGCATACTGGTGGCATCAAACCCCAAAACACCATACAGTCTCTCCCAGCAGTTTCATACAGATGTGAAATAACAGGAGACAAAGCAGAATCTGAGGGACCCTACAGGTCAGTAGCCAGGGCATCAAACATAAATGCCTCAGCACCACCTCCTGAGTTCTCTCCTCCAGAAAGGACTGGAGCCACCACAAAACAGTGCCCTGAAGTCCCATTCCAGAGAGACGGGTCAGAAAGATACCGTGGTTGATAGCATCAAACACTGCTGAAAAGTCTAGCAAAACCAACATGTTGTTTGTCACGGGGGGAAACCACCTTTATAAGACTGTAGGTTATCAGCTTTCAAAAGTGAACGTTTTTCACAAATCACTGTTTGAAAATCAGAATATTTCCCACTTCATAGGATCATGAAGTTGGAAGGGGCCTATAAGGCCATCGAGTCCAACCCTCTGCTCAATGCAGGAATAGAAATCTAAGGATATCTGTCAGGTGGTTGTCCAAATTTCTCTTGAAATTTGTGTTAAAGCAATTAGTTTGGAGCACCCATTGCCTCTTGGGGTAATTGGTTCCATTGCTGTACTGCTCTAATGGGAAATGATATTCAATTAACTTAGCCCATTGTTGCATGTCCTGCACTCTCGGCTGATCAGGAACCAGTCTTGCCAATCCTCTGAATGACAACCTTTCAAGTACAGTATTTGGAAAGTGCTATCATATCTCCCCTCAGGCTTCTTTTCTCAAGGCTAACCGTGTCCAATTCTTGCAGTCTTTCCTCATAGGAGCTTGGTTTCCAGCCCCCTGATCATCCTCGTTATCCTTCTCTAAACATGTTCCAATTTATCAGCATCCTTCTTGAAGTGTGGTGTCCAGAACTGGCCACAGTACTCAAGAGGAGGCCTAACCAGTGCTGAATATAGGGGGACTAGCTCCTCATGGGATTTGGAAACTATACTTCTATTTATGCAGCCTAAAACAGCATTTGCCTTTGTTGTAGCCACATCACACTGTTGGATCACACCTATCTCACATTTCCAGT